AACTTACACTGCCCCCAGGATTCCGTGTTTGCAGAGCGCGGACGGAATTTGCCTCTGCCCGCGGAATTGCAGAATCAACTATTTTGGTCAATTTCCGCGGAATTTTCCGCAGAATCCATATATTTTCCAAAAGTTTAAAAAGTCAGTCTTACCTGTAACAATTTGACACGTTTTCAGTCAAATCCCTTGCAGAAATAACCCAAATTATGCGAAGTGAAAATTCTAAACGCCATTGTTTGATTTCTGCCGTTAGATGGCAGCATGTATGTAGTGACTGACTACCTGACTATCACGATATTTCCCCGTTTACTGGTTCGAAAACCATTAGTTTTTCTTTCGGTTCTCGTCAGAAAGTTAAACAAAGACATAAATTAATAACAGTTATTTATATTATATAAAAAAATGCCGCGAATATCCGCGGAATTTCTGCAGAATTAGCCCTTTCTTCTTGCAGAATTCACTAATTTCACTTGCAGAATTGAGCATTTTAACTTGCAGAAAACTGGGGGGAGTGAACTTAGAATTTAGCTCATTGTGACAACTTTTGATGGTTGAGGTTTATTTTTGTCCCCCACTTTAGTCCTGGCACGGGATAACCTGGGTAGTCATATAAATCCGACCATCGTATGCTCTATTTGTCATTATTTTTTGATAATTTGGATATTTATTTTTTGTTATTTTCTTGCATACTAGGGTCGTACACACTTGCCGGTTGTAAATTGAGGGAAATGCTTTCCTGGCCTGTTTAGGCAACCAAAATCACACAAATTATGTATTAGAATGTGCTCTTCATCGATAATGTATTTAATCCTACCTTACGCACGTCAAACGCTTGATAATTGAAGAAGTATAAGAATTTTTCTGGAAACAAATTTTTTCCCCATGTGTAGATGCATTCTGGGTAATGATTGTGTAAAAGTAAAACTCTAGGTGAAGCGAAAAACGAAATTACAATAAATAACGGCAGCCATATTGAGATCGAGATTTCAACTCGAAAAAGTTTATCATCGTCTTATGACAATTGAATCGCCTTCTCAGACACCAAGGAGGGTGAAGAAACTGAAAACAGATATGTTGGTAATAAATAATTACGATTTCGTTTTGGTTGCATGGTTTCACATTTAGACTGTATTCAGTGACCTTGAGTGACCTTGAGAGCCATATTGGAAATTGGTTCAAACATATACGAAAATGATTACATTTCTTCAATTATCAAGTGTTTCCTGTGTTTAAGGTAAGATTTAATACATTCTAGTTGAAGCATTGGATCCATTATCTTATCTGTGTAACTTTTGTTGGGCATAGAGGGCAGAAAAGCATTTACCGCAATATAATGGCCTTAATATCCTCGACGCAAATGTTGAAAACAAAAATAAAAAACAAATATCCAAATCGTCAAAAAGAAACGTGAAACAACAACATTAAGGTACAGCTGGAAAGTAACATTTTGGTAAAAAAATGCTATACCAGCACATGTTATTTTCTGGTACAAAATAAAGTATGAAGGCATGTGTCAATTTCCTTGCTTTTTTCAGGAAAGTATCATTACATTGTCTTCTTTAAGAATATCTAGTAGGAGTTCAATGGGAACTCCAGGAAATTCTGATATTTCACACTTTCTTTTTTCCAAATTTTCTTTCAAAGTTTCCGGACAACACAGGTGCTACCATTGACCTGTTTCCAGGTTTACTAAAAGTAGACAGTGTAATGATACTTTCCTGAAAAAAGCAAGGAAATACACACATGCCTTCATACTTAATTTTGTACCAGAAAATAACATGTGCAGGTGTAGCAGTTTTTTACCAAAATGTTACTTTCCAGCTGAACCTTAAGTCGAGTTCACTTGACTAAACCTGGGATGTTCTGAGAATACTATCAGTTACATCTTTGCAATAAAAAAGCCATGAAGATAGCTTACCTTTTATAATGTGGAACATATGGATCATCTTTCACAAACTCAATAGGTTTGCCAGTTTTTTCATCCAAAACTCTTCCTCCGGATTTACTTCTGGGTGCAGTTGGAACTGGAGCAACTGTTTTGCCATGTTTGAACCAGCTGTCTATCTGATCAAGCGTTAGTTCTGCACCTAATCTACTCATGTTCAATACTGCCGGTAAATGTACCGGCTCGGAGAAGATAGTTTGACTTGTTTTAGTGAAATCAAAACGAAAAATAAAAACTTGCAAAATACATGTGGTGACACGCCACAAATTAATTTCCAGGTTGATTGAATGACTGCTTGCTTGGTATCACGAAATAAATTTTATAGGGTCGAGCTGTCTTGGGTAAACATAGTTTAACCAACATTATTAAACGTGCCGGATCTCTATCAAACCTTATATAAATCCTTTGACTTACTCCCCGTGTAATATTAGAAAGAAAGCTTTGATTGGCTTGTTTCCACCTTACCATTCTGATGAGAAACAAGAACAAACATTTCTAAAGAAAAATGACAAATCAGCTCCGCTTCACTTAAAAATGCTCTGGAGTACACCTTTATCAGTTCATTTATTTAAAAAATAAATGTTTAGACCATTACAGATAATTGCCTGTTCAGTCAAAAACTCAATGATTACTGCTTTGTATTGTATTGTATCTTTTTACCCTTTTCTGTCCTTCAAAAAAATGAAAAAATAAATTCAATTTGACATGATTTCTTTTTCTTATTTTTTTTTAATTTGATATGGTTACATTAATATTAGTTCTTGCAAAACAGGAATAAATTATATATATTTTGAATTTGTATCTAATCAAGCTCTCTCTCTTTCTAATAACAGAACAGTATTTGTGTCACAAAAAACTATTTATTTTATATATTATATCCATTATATACAAACAATGTTAAAATAACATCAATACAACATGTTTGTAAATATTTCAATGAATCTTTTTCAATTAAAAGCACAATTCCGTTGTGATATTCCTTCCAATAAATATCTCGTGAAAGTTCTACCTTCCCTAATATTATGAAAAATTTGATTAACTTTTGTAAGAAAGCTTTATTTTGCTATCCATAATATTCAAGCCTCCTTCACTAAATGTTTATATAGTCACTTATTTTAACATTTTACATCATATAATAATAATTTGTTTATAGGTTAGTATATCAAAAAACTACAATATTACTGCAACAAATATATATTTTGACCAATATATCAAATAGTAGACTCCCAGGACACCCAATTGTAATGTTAAAGGAGGTTAAAGGGCAGAATTGAATGGGGAATGAGATTGAAAAAAAGCGTCGACATCTTACAATATTTCTCACCATTAGTACACATCAGCCCTTAGCACAAGATTTCATTCTGTGTTTTCATTAATCAATGCATATTTTCAAAAAGTCTTAATTCATAGATATCTTTTATATTTTATCACATATCTCAATTCATTTTTCATTATGTAAGGTAAATAATTTCAACAATTCACACTCTCTAGCTCTGTCCCTTGTATAGTGAAACCTGTAAAGTGGAACACCTCTAGAAATGGAACACGCCTGAAAGAGGAAAACTTTTCAGAGTCCCAAGAACAACTGGATCTCCCAAGTGGAACACTTTTTAGAAGTACCAAAGGTGTTCCACATACATAACATAGATAGGTTAGGTTTTACTGTACACCTTAACAATAGAATTATTGTGCCACTTTGTAGAACTTATGGGCTTTAAAATTGCAGGAATATAAAAGACAGTACATTGAGTACATGGTTTTACATGAGCCTGAGGATTTGGGCAAGAGATTTTTTCTGAGCATCCTGTTTTACAATTACAGTAGTACTATATATAATATAGTGGTTATACTTACATAGAGGGATTGTATATTGGGTTTATCCAGAGGAATGATTTGATATATTCTGGAGGGACCAATGGGAGATATCATATCATCCCAAAGGATAAACCCGATATACAATCATGACAGGGGATAAGCTTTTTATACCATGAAAATTGATAAACTAATATGAAAATTCAATATTTTCAGCATTAAGATTGAGTTAATTTCCTACATTTAAATTCTGTAAATTTAAAAAAATGTATTTACAGATATATTTTGAAAGTGTGTTTATTATTTTAATCTAATTTAACATCCTTAATGTCCCTCTATTATGTTTAGTTCAAGAATATAACTTCAAAAATAGCATTATAATACATTAATATGCGGATTGTATATGGGATATATAGCAAAAATCTTAATATCATTTTTATCTAAGTGCTGCAGCTTTATTCACCTAAAATCACAGTGATCATGGTATACTAGTAAGTAATTTAATAAGACCAATAAAACTATTCAACACATTTTCTATGAATATTCTAAAGTTACAAAAATCACTCATAGTTTCCACCCCTGCCACCGTAAATTGAACATCTTATCTCTGAAGTATTATTACGTTTCCATGGTAATATAATTGTAAAATTCATATTGATTTGTATTATCTAGCAGTCTGATGTATGCTTCAAACAACCGTTTTTCTAAATTTTGACATCCATTAAAATATACACTGGACACTGGTGTCACAAAAATATGATGTCAGCAGTTACAATTCTGACTGAAATGATATTGACTGTAAAATGGTCAATGTATTGGGAATTTCTACATTTGTAAATTGTGTAAATCAGCTTACAATGATATCAAGTGGTATTGTTTAATGATTTTAACAAAAATCAGTTACCCTAAAAAGTAGTAGTAGTAGTTTGTAGAAATGCCAAATTCAAACCACACAAAGTTAACCCAATTTATAATAGTTATGCTAGTTTATATTTACTTTTTAATAATAAACAAGCTGTGACTTGGTTTAAAGACAAATTAAATGAATTAAAAAAATAAAATTCAATTCTGCTAATTTTTTTGGTCTACTTGAGGAATAAGATGAAATTGGGAAAACCAAAATAAATGTTAGGAATGAAAAAAAGACGTGAAAATTCTGATATCTTCTCAGATTAAATATCTTGATAATAATACATGTACTGTACATTACATAATGTATATATTTTAAATGAATATGAAGTAATTCTAGTTTCAAATACAAAAGCAAATATATAGGCACAGTACATAATTTTTTTAAATATCAACATCAAAAAATATTTTTGACAATTTTCCTAAATTGTTGATCTATAATATTACCTCAGCTAAATGTATGATACTGCAAAACGGGTTTCATTAATGAACAATCCAATATAGGTAAAACCTTGAGAAATGAAAATGAACATTCAAATCGCATTGTGATTCAATGTCTCAAAAAAAAATGTTCTAGTACAAAAAAGCCAAAGTTGTAAATGTGTCATTTTATTTTCTCTAGGTTTACTGAGTACAATATAAAAATAACAATACAATTCTCAAAATATATAAATATATCAGCACCATTCATGTGCATTATGTAAATATCCAAATATGGAACTTCAAAAACTTCGAAGAATATACACGTATTGTATCCCAATATTGTCCACAATCATACTTTCAGATTACTGGATTAAAATAGAACTTAACCATTTCAAATGTTCTGTAATATCATAAATGTCGTGTTTATTTTCACTTCCTTCTAGAATCATACACTTTCATTCTGTCAACACGGGCATTTTCCCATTCCTCCAATTCATTAGGGGGTAACATGTACTTCATAACCTCTGACATGAGAGCGTCGCAATCCCCATATACTCTGGCACCAAGACGCCTATCCTTGGAATCTCTGTTTGAGCACAGGGCATCACATGGAGTACTTTGCCTGTAATAACAAATAATATCATTTCATATCATCAATTGAGATGGTCAATGTTTTGAGGATAACTCCCTGCTCCACCTCTGGCGCACCCTCCTTGAAGAAAAGTGTCTGATGGGCCTGCATACTGATTAAGTCATATCTATTACACACTGATTGAGTCATATCTATTACACACTGATTGAGTCATATCTATTACACACTGATTGAGTCATATCTATTACACACTGATTGAGTCATATCTATTACACACTGATTGAGTCATATCTATTACACACTGATTGAGTCATATCTATTACACACTAAATTCAGCATTTCTATTAAACACTAAATGACACATTTTTTACACACTATTTGAGTCATATCTATCACACACTGATTGAGTCAGATCTATTACATACTAGATTAGTCATTTCTTATACACACTAAATGACACATTTCTTTTACACACTAATTGAGTCATATCTATTAGACATTAAATGAGACAGATATTTAACACATTGTTTGAGGCATAATACACATTGATTGAGTTATCTATTACACACTAAATGAGATATATCTATTGCACATTGGCTAAATCATATGCTTAACACATATACTGGGTATATATTACATATGTGACATACCCATAACACACTTACATACCCATAACACACATTACATACCCATAACACACATTACATACCCATAACATAATTACTTACCCATAAAATACATTACATACCCATAACACAAATTACATACCCATAACATAATTACATACCCATAAAACACATTACATACCCATAACACACACTACATACCCATAACACATATAACATACCCATAACACACAATACATACCCATAAAACACATGACATACCAATAAGACACATTACATACCCATAACATAATTACTTACCCATAAAACACATTACATACCCATAACACAAATTACATACCCATAACATAATTACATACCCATAAAACACATTACATACCCATAACACACACTACATACCCATAACACATATAACATACCCATAACACACATTACATACCCATAAAACACATGACATACCCATAAGATAATTACATACCCATAAAACACAAAACATACCCATAAAACACATGACATACCCATAAGACACATTACATACCCATAACACTCATTACATACCCATAAGACACATGACATACCCATAAAACACATTACATACCCATAACACACACTACATACCCATAACACATATAACATACCCATAACACACAATACATACCCATAAAACACATGACATACCCATAAGATAATTACATACCCATAAAACACAATACATACCCATAAAACACATGACATACCCATAAGACACATTACATACCCATGACACACAATACATACCCATAAAACACATGACATACCAATAAGACACATTACATACCCATAACATAATTACTTACCCATAAAACACATTACATACCCATAACACAAATTACATACCCATAACATAATTACATACCCATAAAACACATTACATACCCATAACACACACTACATACCCATAACACATATAACATACCCATAACACACATTACATACCCATAAAACACATGACATACCCATAAGATAATTACATACCCATAAAACACAATACATACCCATAAAACACATGACATACCCATAAGACACATTACATACCCATAACACTCATTACATACCCATAAGACACATGACATACCCATAAAACACATTACATACCCATAACACACACTACATACCCATAACACATATAACATACCCATAACACACAATACATACCCATAAAACACATGACATACCCATAAGATAATTACATACCCATAAAACACAATACATACCCATAAAACACATGACATACCCATAAGACACATTACATACCCATAACACTCATTACATACCCATAAGACACATGACATAACCATAACACACATTACAACCCCATAACACAAATGACATACCCATCGCACATAACATACATAACACACATTACATACCCATAACACACATTACATACCCATAACACAAATGACATACCCATCGCACATAACATACATAACACACATTACATACCTATTACAGATGATAATTCTTGCAGGCTGTTTGCCCATCTCTACCAAGCTATTAGCAGGAGACACCCTCAATGTGGTTCCAAGACATAAGACAGCGTCACCCTTCTTAGCATTATATATGGCTTTGTCTAACACCTCACTCTCTAGGTTATCTCCAAAGTTAATGATGGTGTTCATCAGGTAGCCATTACAGCCCTATGTATAACAAAACACCATTAATTAGCAATGTAGGGATTTATTACTATTTTGCAACTAATTTCTTTTTTCTAATCATCAACACAATTAATTATCAATTCAACTAAAAGTACTTTGATATTTATATTGTGTATTTGAATTCAGTTTTTTCAAGTGTTTGTGCAGTATTTTCTGCCAAGAAATTGTGACATATAAAAATCTTTGCCTAGACTTGAAGGCTTAAAAGGTAGATATTCTTGATTTAATGGAAATTCCACAGCTTTCTCTCATCGCTCGATCAAACAAAGAAAAAACACTCCAGCTCAACAAGAAATAAAAAAGCTTATACAGATACAGTCCTCATTCAGGAACCTTTTTATATTTGATATCTACAAAGCTTCTTAAGTAATGTATACATATAAGCTTAATAGGCTTACATCAACTTAGTTCAAGGATTCAGTACAATCTACTCATGAAGTATCTATGACAAAAAATATCTATAACTAAACTAAACCAGAAACTCTCCTTGAGACACTGCTTGACATTGAGTGAAATCTGAACAGCTTTATTGTGTTCCTTAGGGAATTTCACTTGATGAATATTTAATGGTTTTAATACTATGTGGGTGAATAATATATTTCCCTCATCATTTTTGATTTTGATCTCAGTAAATCTTGTTTTGGTGGCTGGTTCAAATGGTTTATATCATTCATAAGTATTTTCTTTCTAGTGCTACCTGATTTTCTGACAAAAACAAATCATTTACATAAAACTTACTGGTTGTTCGCATTTCTTTCCACTCCTGTGGCAATGTCCACATGTGGAGCATTTCTTTAGTGCATTCCCGCCTTGAACTGTCCGGATGGCATGTGAACGTTCATACCTAAAAACAATAAATGTAAAAAATTGAAATATGATCATTCCTTTCAATTTCAAAAGCTGTCAGTCCTGTTATTATATTTCCATATACATGTAGTATTGTATATTCATTTCCACATTTATATGAAAGAATACATCTTTTGTTGCATTTTTAAATACAGCCATGTAATCCCTACCTTGCAGTGCAGTCCTCACACCTTTCATGGTAGGCATTTCCATGTAGTTCAGCCAGAGAGTCAAATGGCACACCAGACAACCTATGTAAACCATCACAGTTCTGGCTTATCAGGTATTTAATGTGCCCCATCTCAATGAGTTTGGCTAATGCCTCATGTGTATAGGTAGGTCTCAGTTCTTCATAGATGAAGTTTCTCTTTGATCTGGAGGGTTTTGCTTTAGCGCCTGTATGTTAAATAAACATTGATCAATATACAAAGATCATGCTCAGGGACGTAGCCAGCTTTCAGTGTCAGAGAGAGGGGGGGGGGTGCGGTCATTACATAAGCGAGACAAATGTTCTAGAAGCTTTAAAAAACATTTTAAAGCTCTTTACTTCTACCAAATGCTTCTATTCTTTGGGAGTTATTTATTATTTCATTAGTTATTTATTAGTTTGTTCGCACCCATAGCACCCTCCTGGCTACTCCGATCCTATAATGCTATACATCTTACATCAATTTTGCACAGTTAAGAGTGACATAAGTAAATGTGAAAAAAATATTAGTCCTTGATGGTATAATACATTTGGTATCATAAACTAATCCCAATGTTCAATGCAGCTGAAAACCAGCGTTGTTAATACTGTACATAACTGGTTGATTCAGAGTGAACTTGATTGAACTGAGGTTGTAGGCAAATATTATGTGGGTGGTAATCAACACCTGTAAACCGATGCAATTATAATTCACCCACATGACACAAGGGAACAATGTGATATTCAATTATCAAGGAACAATATAAATAACAATATACATAATACTTGAACTGATCATGTTACAGTAACTGACATTTACTGAACAATAAATCAACACAATTACTTTCCACACTGTACATTCACCTTTTCTGACTCAACTAAAAATAGTTTGATACATAAATGTGTTTGTATTATAACAAAGGTATATTAAATAGTTTGCCACTTGATAATAGATAAAGGAATTGGGGTGGGTGTCCTACCATAGGTTTTGCTCCTGTCTTGTTCAGTCCATTTGCCACTCTTTCCCCTGAAATCCCCTATACCTGCAGCTGTTGAGATGCCTGCACCTAATATAGTACAGTAATTTACTGTTAAATTCTGTTACATATGCAGTAAAATATGTGATAAAATTAGTCATATACAGTGAAATACTGAAATATACAATTCTATACTTATAAATGCAATAATATACAGTCACATGCATGTTAGACAGAGAAGGTACAATCACATTCAGTAAACATGTACATATAGTCAACTATGGGAACTCAATTGTAGAGTTTCTAAATAGCTGAATAACGCTGACATAATAGATGTCACCCTTGTTTGTCTTTGATTTTCTTGGGCCAAACTTCCATTCAGTGCAATGCTAGAAACTTGCAATAGTCACTTTAAAATTTCATGATTTGTTAAAAAGTGTTGGTTGAATCTGTCTGAAACTCGAATGGCATACTATCGGATGATACTGTTAATGTACTTATTGTGATTAAACATGAAAATGTTGGTTGTCATACGAATAAGCCAAGGTTTTAATGAATCTTAGCATTGCATCAATGGAGAAGTTTTATTCAAATGTCATGGAAAATGATTTAAATGACATAACTGTGTAAATCAAACTTATTATTGGAGAAAACTTGTCACTGAATTCAAATATGCTATCAAAAATAAAGAAAAGTAAGTCATTAGAGGTAAAAAGTGCAAATCTCTAAAAATCTCATGAAAAAATAGATTTAGCGAGATTTTAAAGCTATTTAGAAACTACTCTATTACATACTTAAAAAGTTGAAACATAGTCACATACTGGAAAGTACATGTACAGTAAGTGCAGTCTAGTATAGTAGTCATGCAATGCAAACTCTATGAAGAAAGTTTTTTTGCAAATAGACTTACTATAAAACCCTATGAACCCTATAGCAGACACATCTTCAATACAAACATCAATATGCTCGATAAGCAGCTGCCCTTTCCAAATGATGACTTACCACTGACTCAAAGCAATCATTATTTTCGTTATTAATAAATGTAATATAAATAAACTAGTTTTGACTTACCCGTAAATGCAATCATATATTTAGAATCTAAGATTATTCTGGCGATTTGATAAGCTTTCTGCTTTAAATGTTCAGTAGAATCATGATATTCTGCTGTTTTCCAAGCTTCATGTATCATATCCTTCTCTGTATCATTTAAATGGAAACTTGTTGATCGCTTGCCTTTTACTGAATCTACGATCAATTCCCAGCACTTATAATGGAAAATTGCTTCGCCTTCATCACTCCAGTTAATTAGAAATCCATGCTTATCGAGAGCCTGGAAGGATTTGACCTCGACACGAGCATCATCAATAGTTAGTTTTCTATCCTTACAGAGTGAAAACTTGCAGGCAAAATCTTCATCCATCTCGATTTTAATTTTGGCTAATTTCTTTGCAAGTTGTGCTGTCATAATGTTAACAAATTTTGTACACAGCTCTTTTATGGAGATGTATGATTCACTGACTTTTGCCCAATGTCACCACCCAAAATAGTTGTTGTACATTAAATTATCTGCTGATGCTGCATTGTTGGGTCAAGTTTATTTATTGTGTCGCGTTTATGATTCATCCAGCCATGTAATGAAAACAAATGCAAATGCAAGCACAATGTCAAGTGTGAAAATGTCAAAACTGTTGTCCTTTTTCAAAGAATATCTAGCGCTAACAATCCCTAGTCCGGCATGTCATCAATGCCTTGCCACAGGCCTTTCGTGTAGCATATATAAGACATAGTGTGGGTGGTTATTAGAGCCAATAGCGTATAATTTATTAACATTTTATGCAGCTCTGTACCCGGAAGTACTTTTTTTATTTTTGTTCTGCTGGATTACGCAGCACTTCCATGACACGCCACGAGTTTGTTTACATATTGTTGGAAAAGATATGAAATGGCTCTTACTTCATTGAAAACTGGGGGACTTCTGTCCGTAATCATACTGATTTTAGCTGTGTATTACAAGCGCAGTAATGATGAGTACCTGGAGACGCACATTCATGAAGTTTTGGATGGATTGCTAAGAGCTGAAAGAAAAGTTCAACAGGATCAAAAAACAAAAGTTGCTGTTGGATTTGGAGCTTGTTTTGATTACTATACAAATGCAACTCAATTACTGGACTCAATTTCAGTTGAACCCTCTTCTAGTCCCGAGCATTATACATCCATTAACTCAAAAGGAGAACTCGCTCAGCTAGTTGCATATTTCTTTGGTGTAGGCGCAGCAGCAGAGTAAGTAGCCTACAAACTCGAATTTTTTATTCTGGGAACCAGTTGATATGGTTAAAATATCAAAATGATGTGATGTAGCCACGTATCTACTTACTTATCCCTAGTTCAACGTCGTTAAACTCAATAACGGCGTTCTTTACTATTAGGAATTTTCTTGGGGCCGTTATTGAGTTTAACCTCTTTGCTATTCTTTCCTTTGATGCAAGTTCTGGATCCATCGAAACCATTTTGCCGCGATAACGTGCAATTGATACTTGACAATGATATAAAAACACATAACATCAAGCGATTTAACACAATATTATTGTGTTAAATGTTCATTTATACTCGTAAAATGAGGCTACACTTACCGATCTCTAAAATGACATTTCTGCGTGTCCGTCATTGTGTCTGTTCGTCCGAGTGTCCCGGATCGTAAAATTAAACTACTAGCGAAACGAAATTGTTGTCAAATAGATTGATAATTATTATCGCGATAAATAAAAGATAAATTTTGAGGATAGCAGGTATCTTTGATTGATTTATATAGCGCGTGTATACACGCAAAATAGTTATTAATTACAAACCTACTGTTTGTAAATGCAGTGCCGCGATGACGGTTAATTTCTGATACGATTTGCAATTTCGATGTTACCGAAACTGACCGACATTTTCGTTATATTCCAAACCTGTCTCCAATATTTCCGTAATTATGCATCAATAGGGTCTAAAGGGGATACGGGATGGTATGTATGTATTCATAAGGTATGTATGCATGCTTGAATCACATTCTTTGTGTAATATGACCATGGTTTCAGGGTTTAATTAGTTCCGCTTGTCGAAACCTGCTGAACGATTAAATTAACGCATCAAGGGCAAAATGATCATGGAGGTTAGACCTAGCCGGGGCCATAAGACATGTCAGATAAGAAACGAGGCCCAGGCTAGGTCTAATGTTGTTGGACTAACTTATCCCGTGCCAGGACTATAGACCTGGAGAGAGCCCAATCTTTTGCCTGTACAATTACAAATTGGGAGAATTATCTACGCCCCTTACACCAAGATACCTACTTCAATAGATTCCTTTGTATTTTAGAATTCTTTTCGTGTAGTTGAAGCCACAATTGTCTGGGTTTATCGGTAGAACGAAGAAATTTTCGTATTATGATCTAGTTCCCAGAATAAAAAATTTGAGTATAATTACAGCCCATTTCACTGTTTTATATCGTCAGTAGAACCCCAAAAATAAGAAATCAGGAGACCATTGTGCAATAATATATGGAAAAGTATATTCATATTGTACATGAATGACATTATACAATTTTGTATTTGTATTGTATTTCAGATTATTTAGTTTTTTTGTGCAATAAGCCTATGCCCTCTTGTAATTTAAAGAATTTCAGCCATGTTAATCTTTTTGAAAATACTATGGAAGAGAAGCATCAAAATATAAGAGGCCACATACTTTATTTGCCAAACTAGAAGCAATCCAAGATATACAAATGTCATTCATGTACAATAGGAATATATTTTTTCATATATTATTGCAAAATGATCTTTTGATTTCTTATTATTGGGTTTCACTGACGTAATAAAACAATGAAATGGGCTGTAGGTACAGTAAAATTTTAAATGTTTGGAACTACAGTAAAACCTGCGAACAGGGAATGCTCTTGGGACTGGAGGAAAGTTTCCTTGTTCAGAGGTTTTCCCTATAGAGAGGGGCCGCACTTTCAGCAAACTCAAAATTGCCGCATAAGCATATTTGATTGATTGTACAAATGCCGACTCCATACTTGGTTACGTTCTCCTCATGTTGATTTTAGCTGCTTCTAGCGTGTGATGATGTCTAGTTGATGTAATCATTGATATGATGTGTAGAGATATATTGCTAAGAACTGAATTTCAAGTATTGATAATCGAGAAGTTGGATCAGTAAAAGATTTAAAGAGATTTGGCTCAACATGATGTACTTACTATCTGTTAACTCCATAAAACAATTGTGTCAGTCCCTGAGTCCCTAGATTATCACAACTGATTTGATGTGATTAGGTTTTTGAAAGGAAGAATTGGTGTCATGATAATAAGTAACAAACAGATTAGTATTAGTTTTAAAATATATCGGGGTAATTAACAGTGGGTGGGATGCTACATCATGTCAACAATTGGCTTATCTTAATCTCAATCATATTAATTCAAGCTTTTTATATTCAGATATTGGCTTAAGACTTTCACACCTTTGAAAAATAATGGAATATGCAGTGTCACGAAAATTCCATATTCCTTGTTCACAGGTGAATTTTCATAATTTGCCCAAAAATAGTGTTCCTTGTTCCCTGTTCAGAGGTTTTCCCTACAGAGAGGGTCCCTTAACATGTAAGTCAATGGAAAAATATTCGGTTCTTTTGAAAAGCATTCCTTGTTCATAGGTTTTCCCTACAGAGAGGTATTCCATCGGACAGGTTTTACTGTACTTTGAATCTAAAAATAAGCAATTAAAGGACCATATTGAAACAAAATATGTAAAAATATAAACATTTATACATGTCCTAACTTTTGTATATTTTAGTTTGTTTTGTAGTTTAGCTATCATATCATATCATATCATATCATGGGCTCTACCACCATTTTCGAAAAAATTATAACATGTTTGAAACTCCCTAAATTACAAAAGGCCACAGCTTTGCTGCACATGATACATAACTATCTGAAATATACAAAAGTTAGGACTTCTACATAATGTTTCCATTTTTTCATATACCATTGCAATATATCAGTCATTTGATTGCTTATTTTTTAAATTCAATTCAGTAGTTCCAAACATTTAAAATTTTACTGTAGTTCTGTATGCTCAAAAATTTTATTGACTTCCTACAATGTAATCAGAGTACCTTATTTTTCGGGTTCATTCCACACATGGTCTACTTAGATAATCACATCCTCCGATCACGCTTCAAAATCCAGAATATATTCTTTCTTTTTACCCCCTGCGATAAGCATAATTAGATCACGTGATTCAGTTAAATCGGGTGCTTCCAAATTGGTTATAGCAGGGGGGAAGAAGGAGCTACGGATTCTGGACACCTGCTTAGGAGGATGAGATAATCAGTGCTATCTTTTATAAAGAAAGCAGGTCACTCTCATTGTACATGCAATGTTTCAGCTCATCCTTTGGAGCAGGCCTCATACTTGTACTGTCACACAATAGAGGCCAATTTTTGCAGTTTACTCAATTACATATATTTATAATGAACAGCTGACATATAATATTCTGTCTCATTTAGGGTAACGTTACACATGTAAATGAAAGCAAAGTATCGATTTGTATTAGGGGAGGCATCAAAAGTTCAATGTCTGATAGGAAACTAAATAAATCTAGTTTTGAGTTGGACCCCCCTCCCCCTCAAAACTAAATACAATGAAAGTTGATCGCGGACTTTTCACATGTTTTAGCGACTCAATTTGAACTTTCATGGGGCCAGTACTATAACTTATGTATGATTCTTAAAACATGTGCCAACAACAATAGGCATAATATTCCATGTGGCATGCATCTTGGTGAAGAAGGCATCTGGTAAAGTCTTTAGTTTTAAACCATTCCAAGGTATTTCGAGTCGAAATTGCAAAAAATTTAAATGTTGAAATTTGTCGGATAGCAAACTGAAATAGCTATGACCCCCTCCCCCCAAACTAGATTTATTTAGTTTTCTATCAGACATTGATCTTTTAATGCCTCCCCTTACCTACATGTATTTCTCTAATACCGTTTATTACATGTTAAATTAGCATTTTTCTTCATGGATAATAATATATTTTTAGGAGATATATCAAGAATAAGGTTCTATGGCAAGAGATGCTACAGGGTGCTCAAGGGCTGCCTTACATGCGGACAACTGTAGGGGGAAATGCTCCGGTTATGGCTAAGAGGTTCATAACTGAGGGATTTGATGTCCTACTTGGGGCAAGAATTTCAAAGAAACTTGCAAATATGATCAGCCCAGATATGAAAGGTGAATACATACGTAGCTGTAATCTGTTTTTCTCAGTATAGTACAGTAAAACCTGTATATCCGAACACTTCTCTGATCTGAACACCTCTCAATGTGAACACTGTTTTCTGGTCCTATTTTAGCTCATTTTCAATCTGTCATAGATTAGCATTCTGAAAACCTTGAAATGTGAACACCTGCCAATAGGAACATTTTTAGCTAGTCCCAGAGGTTTTCTGATTTGAATGGTTTTACTATAATCGTCCCAGCATAGGTTTAAATGTTGATCTGAATAGTGAATACAGGAAAAAAGAGAGGCCATTATTTTCTTCATGTATTTTTCTGATTTAATAAAGGATTATACCTTAACACATAGGGCTAATGAATTTTTAACATTTCATGAAATGATTATTTTGTCATACATTACAATCAGCACCCCTAATGAAAGTGTTTGAACCTGCCGATTAGTAAAGTCATTAGATAAACAGAATTCTCTCCTCTGAATATAGACATCAAGAGGTACTAAAATTGTTTCTTCTTATGCCTGGGTCACATTTGCTCCGATCCATCGGCCGGGGCCCGGCCGATTGAGGGTTTTGTTCAATATTGTATTTAATTTTGAACAAAATACTCAATCGGCCGGGCGCCGTAGTAAAAATCGGGGCAAATGTGACCACGGCATTAACGAGAGGTCCTCTTAAATGAACCTTTGAAAAGTAGAACACCTCCTGAGTGGAACACTTTTTAGTGGCACCAAAGATGTTCCACTTACACATGTTTTACTGGAATGTACTAAAAACCCTTCGACCTACGACCCTTCGACCCTACGACTTACTGGGTCTCAAGAATTTTTGGAATATATTTTATTGAAAAACCCTTCGACCTCTGATTTCCCAGTCCAGTTTACTAAATGATTACGTATAGTTCCACCTTGAGCTCCCTCTGCACACAAATACGCATTTTACCTGGTAATTGTTAAGCAAAAATGTTTCAGTAGAAAAATTTCTAAAAAAGATCGTCTACACAGCAAAAATACGAACGCCGGAAAAAAACGTACGCATTTCGTTCGGACTTTTCACGCGAATTACGTATATGTCACGCATTGCGTTCGAAATTTTTCGTCCCTTCCCCCTAGTATGTTGATACTCATAAGCATGGCACATTGGCCAGGTGGCCATTTTGAAAAGTGGCCTCTACAGTATTTTAAAGTCTTATTTTACTTTTTTACTAAAACTTGAAAAGTAGTTGAACGATTTTGAGATCAAAAATTCGATGGGATTTGCTCCACCTCGCATTTCTGTTATCTAGTTCTGAAATGTATATATTCAGGGGGCATTCGTGGGTTCAAGTGGACCACTCCATTGGCCAAATATTCTCTCAAAATCAGTACAATTTTTCACGATTCTGAGCATTTTCAAGATTTCTGGGCCACTTGAAAATTGTCAAATGTTCACCCCTTGATCCTTTTGAAAAACTTAAATTGGCAAAAGCTGGTTATACGAACCTGATATGACCTAGCTTGCAAGCTTTTTCTTGAGTTTGTGTTTATTTTCCTTGTACCCTTGCATGCTTTGGATTTTGTAGGATGCAAAACAAATCTACTTATTTAGTTGGCATTAGATTCTTAACTATACAAATCCAAATTGAATCAAAGTTGATAAAATCAAAAGACGGTTCTCTTTAAACTATATAAAAAATTTGACCTCCTGAAAATATGCACGATGCGCCAATGTTACAATGTGATGGGAAAAGCACAAATATTTTTACTGAGGAGGTAAGAAACGTTCACATTCGAATGTGCTTGAATACATTAAACCTGCACATCGCTCCAAAACGCAATATGTTGACATATATTGTTTTTACATTTTCAAGCTCTAATATAAAGTTTATGTAAATAAAAAAAAAATTATCTGCGTAATGTCAAAGAACAATCATTTAGTTAAAAATAAAATAAAAAGGCAATTGCGGGATACAAACCCGGGCCTCCCGCGTTCTAAGCGAGCATTCTACCTTTAGACCACCGTGATTTAATGAATGGTGGAAGTAATTAAACGCTACTTATTTTGAATGCTATGATTCGGAAGTGACGTCACGTTCTTCATTTAGAAACCTTTCCAAAATCATATCGCCGGCTCCGATCGAAGTCCAGCTTTTAATATCTTTAACTCTCTTGGGACAGATTCTTAAGTTCTATACACAAAGTAATATTTCCAGCAACTTCATATGGACTGAGAAATATCTAGAAGGTCGAAGGGTTTTTATAAAAATATATTTCAAAAATTCTTGACACGCTGTAAGTCGTAGGTCGCAGGGTCGAAGGGTTTTTAGTACATTCCTGTTTTACTGTATTTGAAACATTGTTGCTTCAGTGGCTGGGGGTGACCTTATGGAAGATGATGTCCATATTTCATTAGAGTATAAGACTGGAGAAAAGTGGGGACCTTATACATCACCTAGAGCTAACAGGTAAGTCATGTGTCTATCTAGCAGATTATATGTATGTTTAGTTAAGTAATGTTTCTCTAACGAGTAGAATGTTCTCTAGTGAATCATGGTTATTGTTGTGTGAGTAAAAGGTCTGTTTAGTCGAAAGCCTCTTTATTTAATGATAAATAATATTAATAAATCATTTTTCATTCAGTTATGTGTCTCTAATGGTGTGAGAAAGTTGGATTGAATGTGTATCCTCTTATAATGTCTGTGTGAGACTAAACAGGGCTGAATTAACACTGTACATGTACATACAGTAATTATATTTATTATCTTCAGTGTATTTGTTTGAAATCTTTTCAGAATATTTCTCCATAGTGACCAGACAAACCCCTACATCAATGCATTAGAAGAATTCCAAATTGCTCTGAGAGAGTTTAATCCAAAGTTACTTGTCATAGGGGGTCTACAAATGTTGGATCACTTTCCATTTGAATTAGGTGAGCACAATGTGGTGAGGTTAAGAGGTGGATTTAATTGATTAGTTTTGACCATTTACGGCACTGTACTGTATCATACCATAACATACCGTAGTACCGTACTGTACTGAAATACTAGTGAGATACTAAAATTAGTCACTTGCTTTGTGTTTTTAATTGTTCCATACATTAATGCCATTAATTATTCGAGAAAATATTAAGACACTCTTTACCATTCAAGAACTCCTCTATCACTTTTTTTATATTTTCTCCCAAAAAACACAAAGAATGGCTGTTTTGACAGAAATAGACTAAAAGATAATTTTTGCGATTTTACCACATTCGCGAAGAGTGCGAACTTAAATTGCATGCGAAAAATACCGGGAGTACATGATTAAACTTGAAAGTTTTGAATGCCTATGCAGTACAGTGACAAGGTATAATGAGGGAACAATTGTGAAAGTGTGTTAATTTTGTAATGGGTACGGTCAGAAATTAAGATTTGTTTGTGAAACTTGTTAATTTTCAAGATAATTCAATATGTTCAAATTTCGTTCGTACAGGAGAAACTTTTTTCACATCTGTTAACATGTGGGCACGATTAAGAGGAATGTCATTGTTCTTCAGGTGAGAGAGAGTCCAGGCTACAGAAGCTGAGTGACATGTTGAGAACAACCCAAAAGGAGACTCTGGTTCATTTTGAGATGGCATCATTCACAGAGGAGACTCTAATGTTAGACCTTGCAGACTATCTCATTCCCTACTCAGACTCCCTGGGCATGAATGAGCAGGAGCTCCCGAATATAGTCAGCATATTGACTTACAGGAACATTACAGTGCTATCCGATCCTTACCCTCGAGTAGCAACCGTTCTGGACCAAATGAGAGAGCTCTATAGCTTGCTAGAGAAATTCCCCGAGACCAAAGGCAGACGAAAAGTCAGCCGGCTTCATATCCATACTTTACCATTCCAAGCTATTTTAACCAGGAGGAATTCTGCATGGAAGAACACTATGTCAGCTACAGCCAAGGCAGCTTTAATGGGAATCAGGCATGTCTGTAACTCAAGCCATATTGATTTACACAAGAGTAAGCTCATCATGGATGAGTCATTTTCGACAACCACAGATGATAAATTCCGCGAGAGGATTCCATTGAATTCAAACCGCCCTGTTTCTTGCTGGGAGGAGGGGGATTATCAGATTTGCGTTGCTCCTAATCTTGTGTGTACTGATGTTGTGCAGACAGGGGGAGGGGGTGATAACATATCATCAGCGGGACTGGTCCTACAGATCTAAGATTTGAGTAGAGGGGGAGGGGGGAAATCAAGGTCTCCTGTCATGCTTCAAATATATTAGTTCTATATTATTTTTTGGGGCTATGATACAAGACTACAATTTCTTCAGATCTTGTTTCAAACTAAAATAAATTGAGTTATTAACATATAAAAGTTGTAAACCATGCTTTTATACTTTGGAAGTTATATATCTGAGTGCCGATGTCAAATTCTGATGCTTTGATTTGATTTAATTTGCAAATCTCCAGAAAATTAATGTGCAGTATTTTTCCTTGACAACGAATTATAAATCATTTCTCATAATGGTTTTGGGAATTCAACTTATATATCTGATAGTCTTTTATAAAACAAGTTTTATGAAGGTCAAAGAAATACTCCATACAAAGCTGTTGAAAATCTCATTGGGATGAGAAAATATCCTGAGTATCCTCTATATTAGTAACATACAGGGTGACTCAAAAGTAGATTCACAGTTATTCAGAGTGTGTAAACCCTTTTGGGTCGCCCAGTATTATTTGTTAGCATTCATTCATGAAATGTTGTTATTTTATTTTAGACGACTTGAGTTATCATGTATATCTTTAACTTTAACACACAATTGTACTTTACAACAATGTTTATATCCAAGTAATAACACATAGTCACACACTTACTTAATCTAACAAGAATATATATTTTTAATGTAAATTTAAATATCATATACTGTACTAGATTAAGAAATCTGAAAAATAATTTCTGCTTGATAAGGTATTCTGCCTATACATCCATTTCCGATATATTCATTTATATGTAAATTACAATATTTATACGGTATTTAATTATAACAGCCAACACTTTATGTTATATTCTAAGAGTGGTGGAGGGAATTTATACATCTTATAGTCTATTACACCCTACATTTTACTTTACAAGAGCCAAATGCTTGGAATATTCCAGATACATGTACAGATCTTTCACGTTTTTAATAAGTGAAGACAAAAAATATTATCGATATATCCAAAACTAACTTTATTACATTCACAATATTTACATATTTTTGTTATTAATATCAGCCTATTGAGAAAACATCTTTGTCACATACATTGAGCTGAGATATAAGTAAATTGAAAGTATATTTTAAGATACAGTGTTGTGTCAAAGCAATAGAATACTGACTGGTCTTGTGTACAGTTTATGAAGTTAAGTTTTGTTTTAAATTTTTAGCCAAATCATGACTCGACATTGCAGTGAAATGAAGTGTAAATTCTTGGTCAATTAAAATTGTTCAAAGTATGATACCAATTCAAAATTGGCATTTGATATGACAGATTATGCCAAGAATGATGTATAAATGGAATACATGTGGTGGCTACATATAAAGTGATAAATTGCATAACGGTTATGTTGTTAAAAAGTATATGTCCATCCAATCAATGGATGCATCATAAGTACTTTGAACCTAGACTACTGCTGGTCAAAGTTGAATAAGGAAAATATGTCTGTTTATTTTCCACACGCTATAATTGTTATGTAGACCTCTTGTTCATCACTATGTCACATTTTGCTCAAAAGATGAACTGTCAGGTTTCAATGTAGACCTATTACTGCATAAACTGCTAGGGGATCAGGGGGAAGCTACCTTGCCAGAATATTACAGAAAATTATTTTTTCAACAGCTATTTAACATTTTCAAACAGAAACTACCTTGCCATGTATATTTTTGGAATCCTGCCTATAGGATACATAATCAAAAATCAAGATCGCCTTTGAGGTTAGCCTTGCCCAAGTCGGTCTCTTTTGCTTATTTTGATAAGTAAAAAATACCGACTTGGGCAAGGCGACTTTGAGGTCAGCATCAGCAATATTAAGATTGCTTCAAACATTTTACACTCCATCCCTTTAAATTCCTTATTCAATACCATATGCTTAAGCTGGAATTGAATTATGCAGGTGTTTTTATCATATGTCCACCCATTTATTCAAGCCTATATTATCAGTTGTGTATATAAAATATTAATAGGTTTATATGTCACACAGGATCAAATCCTATGCCAAGGGCTGATGTGTAAAGTCACTTCTACTTGGTAGGAATCGAACCACAACCTCCCTCTATACACTACAGTACAATGTAAATTATTCACTCACTCATGGGCTATCATAATGAGGGTTCTCAGTAAAAGTGTTTTGCATGAGGGCTTACCTGTTGGAGTTATTATTTTACATTGTTGTACTGTAGAGTCAGACTATAATGTTATTGATTAATTTTTTGGTATTATCATGCTTGTTTGCTAGTTGGAAATATTTGATGTGTTGTAAATATTTATACATTAAAGGGACACCAAAGTTCAGTACCACTTAGTCATTCCCATAAATCCTGGTCTTCAGAGATGGCCTTTGGTGCCCCTTTAATCTTTTAAAAATATCCACCTGCCTTATGGTATTTGGTTGTTTTTAATTCCACTGACTATTTTATAATGCTTCGTGTTGAGGACAACTGACATGTCATTTTGAACAAGTGGGAATGTCCCTTTTTTGATTCTAATGAATTTTAACATTTCCCCATCTTGATCTTCAAAATTTATCATTTGAATGATGATTGGCGCAAAGTGCCAATGTTTTGTCATCCCAGATGATGTATTAAAGAAGATGCGATTCACATTCTCCCCCAGCTAAAATGTTCTATGAACTGCAATACCATATTATCCTCAAACATAGGTTGGTTGATATTTGGAATCCTGTACACATAAATGGTGCCAGTTTCTTGTGTTGTTGTGCTCCGAGTGTTTTGGATCTTATTTTTCTGATGTTTAGAGTTAAATTATTGTAGTGATGTTGCCAACACAGAGAAACATATTTTATGAAAAGGTTGAGAGATCATATTTTTCATTTATTAAAATTAGGTGTTAATGAAGCACCTCTTTATTGTACAAAATGTACCTTTAGGTATTTGAAATGTTTTATGCGTGAGAAGTGTGCAATACCAGGTATAAGCACAAAAAAATCATGTTTCAGTCAGCTCCAGTGGGAACTTGACTATGCAATACATGGTATATACACTCCCTTCCATAAGTTTGGAAATGGAAAGTCCCTTTTGGATCACTCAGTCTGTTTAGTTTTTGTTTGGCGATTTAAACAATACAATCATTAAACTTTTCATAAATTTCAAAACTGCATGTATTGTTAGGAACAAAATCAAGATCCAAACATTGATAGGCTTTGATATACTATCTAATGAAAACTTCCAGTTGGCATACTTATGGAGGGAAGTGGTAGCACTGTAATAGCACACAAATAATTTAACTACAACCTTAAAATAAAATACTGTTCTCAAAACAAACTTGGTGTTTATGTTTCTCTTTGAATTGTACCACTAGTAACATACTATAGAGAACTTTTGAAAGGGCCGTATGTTAAGGTGAGACTCAATTGCCTTACTTATACGAGCAGCTCTTGCCAACCTTACTTTGTAGTCATTTCATTTGACAATTTCTATTCAAAACTGACTTTTTAGAAGTTTTGATTTGGCATTACCAGGTAAAACGAATTAAACGACCAAAACGAATTAAACTGACTGTTAAATAAGAACCAGAGTTTCTAGATATAGAATTTGAAAACTTCAGCACAAGTACCCCAATAATACACCAAAGGGGTAGTAGGTGACCTTACCTCATGAGAAATTTTTTCGTTGCATGCGATTCTATATGAAGTGCAAAACCTACATATGCAGTCAATATGGTACAACGAAAATGGGACTTCTGCGCATGTTAAAATTTTTCGTCAAAACACAACTTTTGTTCAAGTTGATACGATTGTCTTTCGAACTAGAGACTTACCTCATTCGAAAGATCGTAAAAGACTTTATCTATACTGAAAATCTTAGATCGAAACATAGTAGAATACGCCGTCAGTCCACATTTGATTTTTTGAAGTGAGTTTCGTAGATCGTCAGATTTCACCGACTGATATCGGGTTATCTCAAACTGGTTCGTTTATAAATACGAATTTCTTTACCGTTGTAAGGCGCATGCGCAAAATTGATTTATAAACCTTATTGGTTGATGGTTTTTCTCCTGCGCATGCGTGAAGTCTGATGAACACTTATGACGAAGACCGGAGCAAACATTACTAGCTCTCAAACGAAATTCCAAGATTCGGGTCATTTCGCCGTGTTTGCTAAGCGTGTATACGTGAATGACAAGCTGTTTTGAGTAGATCGGGTACCTGTTTTAGACACAACATTGATTTAGCTTGACATTGATGTGCACATTGGCACTTTTGAGCATGTTAATACAAGTTTTTACACGCTTAGCACGAGACGGGTTTTCGAAAAATCTGTTATCTGATTCACTCGATTATCGTATGGATATGTATTTCTGCCGACATTTGAACACCACATCACATAGAATTACGATGCAGAATGATAATAAAACACAAAACAACTACTAAATTCCACTTGTTATTTCACAGGAGGTAAAAATGCAAACTGCCTAGATTCTTTGTAAGGGTCGTCAGACATCGGATTGGCCGCCATATTTGAAATGAAAATATCACTAAATAGAGGTCTGCGCATGCCTCAACATTTCGACTGTATGAGGAAATGGTTTAAACCATTATAACCAGATTATGACAAAACGCAACACATATCAGTTGTTTTTGCAGCACAGATCAAGTTTTATTACTGTTTCACAGTAGTACAGTAATTAATGCACAGTAACTCGGTGCCAAGTCCATGTTGACTAGACTTCACATGGGGCACTTAGCAAGACAAGATCATTGGTCCAAGACTGTTTATGAATAACTTACATTCCAAGGTGTTAAATAATTCCATCAATATATCCCTATTGTCCATATTGCAAATTCCTTATTTGGCAATGCTGTTTGTCATTGCAAATTCCTTATTTGGCAATTTTTTCATTGCGAATTCTTTATTTGGCAATTCTGTTCTTATTCCCCTCAAAATAAGAGACATCTTCCATAGATGGTATTTTTTATATATTTTTAATTTTTTTTACATTATACATCCAAATTGCGCTACATATGCAGCTTGTTACAGTCACACATCTAATGCAAACAGAAGTTGATGTTGAGAATGTTTATTTGAAGATTTTTCCTTGGTTGAATTTCTTGCCAACGTGAGCAAAGTCCCCTTCCCAGGAAAAGTATTCCTTTACTTTCAGTTTACAGTCTTCGGAATCTGGGTCTAGTTTTGTCCACTTGTAGGATGGAGAGTCTATTTGAAAGTTTTCAGATAACTGGAAGTAAACATAATAGGAAGTTATTAGTGATAATTCTTTGAAAGAAAAATCTGGTTCCATCAAAGTAGGCAATGAAATAAAGTTTCATTTATGAGAAAAACTAGAAAACATCAGATGGATGTACTTCTATCAAACTGATCGGTGACAACATTAATTGTTTAGGGAGCATTTCAAAAATTTGGTGTCGTGATATTAACTATTTTCACGAGCCCTGAGTTGGCTTTTTTCAACATTGCTTCCAAGGATTTTAATTTATGCCCTTATATATACAACCAAAACACACATTTGCATAGAAAGCAAATAAATTGTAAGATTATTCAAAACTGATGACACAATTTTTTTAAAAATTTTCAAGTATTTGGTTGGTGAACACACCGACCAAGTTGTTTTCATCAAACCTCATGGGTATGTACAGTTAAAGCAGATATGAAATGGTATTTTTAACCTAAAGGAATCAATATAATTTTTTGATAAATGTATTTGGACATGTTTTCTCATCATTAGTGTGAAAATTATTTCACTCTAACGATCGTTATAGCTGCTTAATAAGCAATATTCGAATTGGTTGTGACGTTATTGGCCCCCACGTGATCTCTCACTGGCCCCCACGTGGCCCGTTTTGGTCCATTAGATCATGATGTCATAATGCCAAAATGTTTTGTTATTTGTTTACACAACAATCCTATGGTTGCCGTGACGTTGTGATTACGAAGGAACCAATAAACCAAAGCTATATTTTGTGTATGACGTTACTAATCACGTGGGGGCCAATTTGATTGATCATTTAGTTTTATTTCGTTATCTATGACCGTTAGCAGTTATCTAACATTTATTTTATAATGGCTATCGTAAGAACTCTACGTTGGGGTGACAATGGAGAAAACCGCATTTTTGTAGCTGCAAGTTGAGAAAAGCTATTTCAGTTGTCCTTTAACACCATGCATCCTTGAAAATAAAGTTAATTCCTCTGCATTGAACTTTTAAAATGCCCCTTAACTTGAATAGTTTATTAAGTTAGATGTACGGGGACTAGTTAGACAAGCTCCAATGATAAGGACACTTTTGATAAAACCAGTCCCCAGTTTCTGTTCCTCACGTTCCTTACAAATGCATGGTTTATATCCATACACTTGCCTTTGTGAGAGGGTTTCATACACACTCATCAATATACTTTCATATATATGTTCAAAACAAACAAAGCTTATACTAAAGAAATTTGAATGACTGAAGAATAGAGGAATTGAATCCCCAAAGGATGAGTCTGGGAATGAGTCTGGGTATCGACTTGGAAAATATTGAAAATTGTAATGTCTGAAAAACCAACTCAATCACACATATTATTAAACTTCAATATCTTATCCTTCTTCTGAGATTACAAAAATATCAATTTGTATCACAATTGATGAAGAATATTGGCATCAAAGACAGTGCATATCACTTTGTCTGAATTGAAAAAAAATCAATGGCAAATATTAAATGAATTATTTATGCAAAAAGTTTGAAACATATCTTCCAAAACATTGGTTACTTTCTTTGTATAGACATTGAATGGTATTTCTGGATAAGTGAATTGGTGTTTATCTGGGTAATCAAGGGATTATAGTCACTCAAGGTTACTGAGCATCCAGTTTTGAGACTTCAATTGTGTTGGTGATGTTACACATATTTAAGTCAAATTCATGCTGAGCACAACATTTTGGTTTCAATTTTATAATCTCTATACATGACCCTGGTGATGAAGAGTCAGAATCAGTCAAAAAACCTAAACTGGAAACTGTGCTCATTGTGAAAACTAAAAGTGAAGCAACTTTTTTCTGATATTCCTTACATCAAATAGCAACAATCTTTCCCCCCCCCCCTTCAAATTAAACTGGCATTCTTTTTAATTCTTCATGGGTCTTAAGTTATTTCTTCTTTGTATGTCATACATGTTGCCATTGGTGTTTTTTCTACGATAATAGAGAGATTTCGCACATAAGTGAAAGTACAACTTATACTTATACTTTAAAGGGTCATATCGAACTATTATATTTACTAAAATCAATTTCAAATTGTACTTAATGGAACATAACTATTCCCGATATAGATAAGCTCCATCAACTAGAGACTGTGAATGCACTGTCATTTGCAGGTGAAGATTATTCACATTATAATTAAATGCTTGCTTCCGTGTCCTAGTAGTTGTAGTGTATTATAAACACGATCCTTTAAAGTGAGTCATTGCATAAACAAGTTGATTATTTCAAAGTTTTCATGATCAGTATAAGTTCAATGAACTTATAAAACGGTATATATACGAGATGATAAACGTATACAGTTGGATCTCCGTATAAAGCTTTACCTGCATGTGTGTGGAACAATTGACCGCAAGCATTTTTTAAAAATAATTGGCTGAGTAGGAACAGTATCCAATCAAATACTTTAACCATCAATTTGAAACACCAATCAAACCAGTAGGTTCTAGCAATTCCTGGAAACGATCCATTCAGTAGCTCAACAAATGTCATACAGGGTGTTTCATAACGAGCATCTCAAAAAAAATCAATTTGAGAATAGATCGGTCTATAACATACGTACTATATATGAGCCTATTATCAGAGATCACGATAGTTGAAAAAAAACTTGTTAGCCATTGTGGCTAAATCTTCCAAAATATTTTTAGCTAACCAAAATATGAATTAGCCATTTTGAAAAACCGTAAAAAAGGGAATTCGCAATAGAGGTGTCACGGTCCAAGAAAATTTCGGTACGGTACGGAACGGTACAAATGGTCTCAACACGTTACTTTCGGGACGGGACGGGACAGAACATTAAAAATGATGAAATGTCTGATGATGACAGTTTCACTTTCAGTTTCACTTTTCAAAATCATATTCAGGAATAAAAAAACGTCCATTAAAATTGAATGTAAAGCATCTGCCGCGAATGTGATCGGCATTTCACATAGTCTGCACGGTGTAATATTACCAATTTGTTTACCTTGTGATATCGGAGTCCCAAAATACTTCCAAACTGCCGACTTTTTCGACTTAGATGCCGGCTCGATTTTTCAATTTCTTTCCTACATCCGGCATACTGATAATGCACTAGATTTGCGAACGACGATGAAGAAATTTACGAAATCGCGGGTCCGTTAATAACACTTTTCAATGCAAAGAAGTGTAATCTAGGTACGAGGTAAGTGAAAATATTTCAGAACGAAATCGGAGGTGTTCCTCGCTATTTATACACGTTTTTATGCATTTTAGTGAAGGAATCTATGTACCGATATTAACCCTTTCTGTCCCATGTCCCGAACCGAAGCATCTGGACCGAAATTCGGTCCAATATCGGGAAACCGTGACACCTATAATTCGCCATAACTGCGAAATACCTTTACATATTTTTCGCCACCTCTTTCGAAAATTCGCAATTGGCGAATGGCGAACGTCTACCGTGATCTCTGCTATTATTCTAGACAAACACATTTGGATCAACTAAAGATGCTACAATTTAAGAAAGAAAAATGGCATCCCTTTGACCTTGATTTATTACAGTCCGGGAAGATCTTTCCTGACGAAAAGCCCACATTATGAAACACCTTGTACGTTTGCTTATAAGTATAAGTATACGTTATAAGTTGTACTTTCACGCCGTGCGAAATCTCTCTAATGACTTTTTTGTTGTTGTTAAGATACTTATTCTGACTCTCAGCAGGGGGTTAATTATGAATCAAAACTCGTGAAAAAGTAAATATACTTATCAAATATAACTAAGACAGTAATAAAAACCATATTTCACATAAATTTGACAGAGGGACCAAAAGGGCATATACCCGGACACATCCTTTCAAATTCAAAGCAGAAAAGCTTAAGATCTGAAAGGTTGAATCATTCAATGGAAATCATATAAGCTTCTGTACTTACATCAAAAGCTAATCCTTGTCCCTTCCAGAACCACACACCAGAGATACTGTTTTTCCTATCTTCACCAAATATACACATACTGCCAAATGCATATTTGTGCAACTTGTCAAGCCTTTGGAACATCCCTAAAATAGATCATATACTATGTTTTTATTATTCATATTTCAAAGCCAAGAGAAGTTTTTCCTGTCAAATGGGAGAATGGGAGAGGACTGCATGCATGTATATTCATACATTCTAGAATTATGCTGTATGTCTGACCTAGCAAGCTTATAAAATGATTGTTCAGAAGCTACAGAGTATCAGACCATTTCTTTAATATTCCTCACGTTCCTTACAAATATACAGTTTATATCTATACATTTGCCTTTGTGAGAGGTTACTGAGAATTTTGGTTTCTTGTTTTAGTTACAACTAGACAACAGCAACGCCAAAGCGTAGCAAATCCCATCGCACAGCCATGGCTGGTATCTTTACAAACAAAGTATATAGCAAAAAACGAAAGCCATTTTTCAAAATGGCCACTTTCTACCAAAAGTGTCATTAGATAGTGTGCTATCATGCGTGTGGTATTCGCATCCCAAATATGAGCAAAATCGCTCTTCAAAACTACTTTCAGGGTTACAGAAAAAACGTAAAATAGCAAGTACATAAAGGCCACCATTTTTCAAGATAGCTGCCATGTGGTTCTTTTATATCTACATTTCTAGATTTATTAATATCCTATATATTTTTTTTTACATTTAAAACATATTGCTTTTACGGTTTTACAAATTGTACCTAAATTACTGTAAAAATGGCCACAATTTTTAAATGAGCAGCCATTTTGAAAATCAGCTTTTGAGCAAAACTTCTACCCGCAAAGGGTATATGTGTACAAAATATGACCAAAATCGGGCCAACGGTATTTGAGTTATTGCCCGGATGGACAGAGGCGTTCCCTATATCCCTCCGAACTTCGTTCGATGAGATAATAATTAAAGTGGGGTTTTATACCGCCTCAAAATAAATTTAAAAAAAAAAGATTGATGGTATGAGACACAGCCTTTTGAAGATAAAATATCTTACCTCCTACAAGATTACAGGTCATGAAGATCAGCTCAAGCTCTTCTGGGAACATGTATTCACAGTACCAGATAGAGTAGTCTTCCTTGTTTTTTTCAAACAAGTCCCAAAAAAGTGGAATAGCTTTAGTTAGAGTGTCTTCATTGGAATAACATCTCTTGAAGGAGTCCATGTCCATGTTTCTAAAAAATAAAATTATTAAAATCATCAAATCGAGAGTAACAGCAGCATCAAAGTGCAGAAAATTCCCTCGTCCAATGAGTGTCCGACAAAGCGTAGCAAATCCCATCAAACAGCCAAGGCTGGCATTTTTACAAACAAAGTATATAAATGGTCACCTTCTACCAAAGGTGTCATTAGATAGTGTGCCATGCTTTTAGTATTCACATCCCAAATATAAACAAAATAGTGAGTAAAGGCCCCCATTTTTCAAGATGGCTGCCATTTAATACCTACATTTCTTGCTTTATTAATCTCCTATATGATTTTTTACATTTAAAACATATTGCTATTACAGTTTTACATTTTGTACCTAAATTACTGTAAAATCGGCACTAAAATGGGCGCCATATTTAAATGAGTGGCCATTTTGAAAATCAGCTTTTCGAGCAAACCTTCTACCACCATGGGGTATATGTGTACAAAATATGAACAAAATCGGGCTAACGGTATTTGAGTTATTGCCTGGACGGACGGACGGATGGATATATGTACGGACATACGGACAGACAGACAGAGGCGTTCCCTATATCCCTCCAAAATTAGTTCGATTGGATAATAAAAGTATCTATATTAACACATCATAATAATGATAAATAATATGTATGCATAATGGTGTATAAATGTATGAGCTTCAATGAAAGAATGTCTTAAAACAACAGGATTCTTATAACAGTGTTGCTCAGTCTATGTTCCTCACGTTCCTTACAAATGTGCAGTTTATATCTATACACTTGCCTTTGTGAGAGGAATTATATCCAGTATAATACATCCAGTTAATCTTGTGCTCATTTTAATAAAAAAAAAAATCTCCATAATAGTGGAAAATCTTACCCTGGAAGACCTGCGAATGGATCTTTGGGCTCCTTAGCCATAGGAGGTTCCTCGGGCTCGGCTTCCTTGGGCTTTTCTTGCTGAAATGATTTAAATTTTTGCAATATATTATTGTTAATTCAGAATACAAACAATTTTGAAAATATGAATAATGCATAGAGTTAAAAAAAGTCATATTATGAAAGCAAGAGCAGGAAAAAGTCTTTAAGTATACTCAGCACACTACACTATACTACTGTGTAATAGTTATAGTTCGATGTAAGGGGACTGATTATACAAGTTCCACTAGGGAATTGCAGATAAAAACCAGTTCTCAGTTTATGTTCCTCACGTTCCTTACAAATGTATGGTTTATATCCATACACTTGCCTTTGTGAGAGGGTTTACATGCAAGTTAAGCTTCAGTCACGTTTGCTTTACGGCGGCTGTAGCCTCACATAATCGATATAGAAAATCTACATTGTACTGCTCATCTCTTTTTTAAACTGCATATTTCTCTCAATTTTGGGAAGCTATGACCCTCCATAGATCAAATGTGACAGTCAGGCATTACAGATTAAATAAACAGTAATCAAGAAATCAGACTGGTGGCGAATATCGAAGCAATGGAAGAAACAATCGTGATAATGACGCCTTCATCGTGAGTATTTGTGCAAATTCTTTGCCCCAATTGTTCATCAGCGTATATATCCTTTCAATTTAGCTCAAAATATCACCAAGGACATCGGAACAACCCACGATTGCTTTTTATTGAGGGCTCACGGTTCAAGTTATTGGAAGTTGTAAGAATTTGTTACAGATGCCGATTGCCAACCACCATAAAAAAATGGAGACCATAACAATATGTCACTTTTTGGTGGTGACATAATTAGAATGAAAAACTATAAAAAAAATTATAGAATCTACTTTTATAGAAAATAATCAATTTACTGGTACAATGACTTAGTCATGCAACTGAACAATAAACTTTATTGGGAATTTCAATTTTCCTTTTAAACTAATATCTGTCAAATGAGACTGAACATTTGAAGATCTCTAAACACGAATCATGCTTATAGAAATTTAAATTGCTTGAATGCATGCAAAAATAAATCAAAGACAAGAGACTAAGAATTTCATCTAATTAAAACTGATCATATTTACAGATACTACAATTGTATATATATCAAGTCTCCACCCACCTTCTTTTTCTGATTCTACTTGAAAGCACCATACACAATTAAAAAAATCAATTATTAGAAATATATATTGCATATCTGAAATAAAAATATGTTGTGAGACACATCAGACACATTAAGAAGTTTGTATGCGTCTTTTCTCCCTTCAAATTTTGTCTCACCTTTGGTTTCTTTTCTTGTTTTTCTTGTTTTGGCTTCTCCTTCTTTTCTTTCTTTCCACCATCCTTCTTGGGGTTCAACTCAGCAAACTTGGCAGCTGAAAGTCATATCAAATCATATCTTCAATTTTCTAGTCATCATGTCTTTATTATTTGCAGCATTATTTAAATCTTCCAGAATATGCCTCTTGTTTTAATTCAATACACTTTATGTTTAATCAAATTGTTTCCTTACTACATACTTGTATATGAAAGAAATACTGTACTTGTATATGAAAGAAATACATGTACTGTACTCACTGGTGAACCACTCAATTACGCTGGTTACCGAAACGGTTGTTTCAGTAACAAAATGTCGGGACATCGAAGGTACGATTTTTCTTTTTTCATTATTCTACACGTTGCAGGCAGAATTCCCACGACATTTTTATCACAAACGTGTATCAGTATAATATGTTAAAGAAAATGTACATATTTGCGAACAAATAGTTACATAAATGGTATTTCGAAAAACAGTTAAGATCTGCACTTTCAACCCATACTGTTTATGTAACATAAGTGAGGAATTAAATCGACGATTCTGTTGTCTTCTGAGCTATTTTTTTTCGCAAACATGTACATTTTTTAAAACATATGATTATGATACATGTCTGTGAGAAAGAATGTCATGGGGATTCTGCCTACAATGCATGAAATAAGGAAAAAAGAAAAATCGTACCTTCGACGTTCCAACATTTTGTTACCGAAACTGTATGTTTCGGTAACAAAATGTAGGAACGTCGTAACCGAGCGGATCACCAGTGGTACTTATACATGAAAGAAATTTACCATCAAATTGAGCCATGGTTGTGGCAGGAGTGACATCTCCAAGGACAGCTTTAAATTCTGGTTGGTTAACACAAGTCAAGAACCACCTGTTCACATTCTGGTATGGCTTGCGGAATTCTGGGTCGAGGACCTACAGAGAAACGGTCATTAACCACTTTTGAATTGAAACATCTAGCTTCATAACTTTGATATTAGTGATTTCCCAGCAACTTTTTTCTCGGAGCAACGCTTTGCCTTGCCTAAGTTATTACAACCTGGTTTTTTTGTCCTTGAAATAAACTTATTGAAAGGTCTAATTTTCTATCAAAGACTTGGACATGAATTCTTAAAAAACCATTTGAAGCTAACTTACCATTTTGTAAAGTGTCACTAAGGAAGTTGCACATGCAATATCTGCAAGAGAGATTCTCTCGCCAACTAAGAATGTGCGGGTCTTCAAGGTAGAGTTGAGGGCATTGAGAGCATGACCGATATCCTGCTTAGCACGCTCTGTGTTCTGCAATAAACATAGGATTCTTTATTAGATAAGAGAACCTTCAAAAATAGTGAAATTGTGATCGGAATTTCATTCTTATTCAATATCACCGACCTTTCCTCCTAAAAGTATGTAGAAGCATTTTCAGATTCCCAAGACCAACTGGCTTAATGTTAAATGAACCTCTATAAGAGGAACACCTCCTAAGTGGAACACTTAGATGTACCAAATGTGTTCCATTTAGTTTTCCTAAGACTAAAGAGTTTGTAGAAAACACTCTAAACTCCATCTACATAGAGTAGGAGAGTATGTTAAAGCATTATCTTTTATGTACCTCCAGATTTTACACATCCACAGAGAAGAATTGTAGACGTGCCTTTGAAAGGAGGAAGTATTTTAGGATTAAGGCCTGATACTGAAGTCGGTTTAAAGATCATTATATTAGAATGTATTTTAGTTTTACACCTACTTGCTTGTTATACTGCATGATGCCAAGACAGGGGAAGACCCAGGTGCAAGAAGCGGGGAGAATCTCACTGTCTGCGAAGTTCACCCATTGCTGCACCAATGTAGCGTCTAATGTACTGTTACCTCGCAGCGCATCATTGGCCACTGAAACATAACCCAAAGGCCACTTAGCACAACACAATTAATTATGTCTCAACATAAAACATTGCTTCATAATAATAATGAAAGATGGAAATCCCATATTTAGGCTTTCTAGACATAAATCTGTCTAAATGTTTTTCTCTGGTATATTTCTTTGACATCTATTGTTTTATTATATTTTCATTCAGAATGAGTAGAAATTATTCACTCACCATAATATGCAATGGCATTGCTTTCAAAGATGGGCTGTCCATCATTTGTCTCAAATGCTGGTACCTGGAATGCAAATTTTGCTTGATATAAAATTTCACTTTTTAAACAGACACAGTAATATTAACATTGGTTAGAGTTACCCAGCAGCTTTTGGTCAAAGAGCTTCGTAACGGTGAAATTCAACATGGCAGCATCCAGTGTTGGGTTTGTGTAAAAAAATGGGTGACCGGGTAACCCGGTGGCTGGGTACCTAACATTCCTAGCACTAGCAGGGTTACCAACTTTCAAGTTCATTTTTCTCTAATATAGTAGCCAATTACTCAGATGCGAGTAAGTAGTTACCATTTCGCCACCAGGTGGCTGATTCGGGAGAATAACATGGCAGGGTATTACAAATATTCATCGGTTATAGTGGTGCGGTTTTCATATTACCCTGATGTATCTGATAGTTATACAAATTGAAATATGTCCAGTAAAGAAAGTATTATCTGCCCAACACAAGAAGATATTTTACTTTTTGTGATTTTACAACAGTGTCTATGGGGAATCTCCCCGACATACATATAGAGTCCATTTCACAGCTTCATTTCGTCAGTAGAACGGCAAAAATAAGAGATTGGGAGACCATTGTGCAATAATATATTCATAATGTACATGAATGACATTTGTATATCTTGGATTGCTTCTCGTTTGGCTTATAAAGTGTGTGGCCTCTTATATTTGGATGTTTCTCTGCCATGTTATTTTCAATAAGATTAACATGGCTGAAATTCTTCAAATTACAAGACGGCACAGGCTTATTGCACAAAAAAACTAAAAAAATTTGAAATATACAAATGTCATTCATGTACATTATGAATATACTCCATATATTATTGCACAATGGTCTCACAATTTCTTATTTTTGCCGTTCTACTGACGAAATGAAGCAGTGAAATGGACTTTAGAAGTCACATTTTCAAAGAAAATCAAATTTTCAAAGTTGATTAAACTCTTTTCAAAACCACATTTATCAATGTAATTTTACATGTAGATTCCAAATATGACATCAGTTTGACTGAATTTTGAATGACGTAAATCAAGATTATTTCTTATTTATTATTATAAAACAAATACTGGATTGGATCATGGGCTTTCAACTAGATCTATTCAATATAAAATTGGCAACACTTTCTGAAACAACATAAATGAGTAGTCTAAGCTCACTTCGAAAATTTATGAAGACTGCATATGTTTTCAATAACTTTCAATAACTTTTATTTTTTACTGAAGTGAATAAAAAAAATCTAAAACATTATGATAGCCGTACCTTTCCAAGGGGAAACTTCTTCAGGAAGTCATCGGACTTGTTGGTCTCACCAAGTTTGAATGCAGGGGGCTCAGAAACCACCTTGACATTAGCTCCACTGTATTTGGCAGCGATCAAAATTTTTGCTGCCCGGAAGTTTTCGGGGTAGGTGTATAGAGTCTGTAAAGAAAACGATTATTCGATATATAGTTTATATTAAATCCTACATATTTATCTATAGAAAACTGACATCTTTGTAATGATTTATCAAGTGATTCAAGATATATTAGGCCGATTTTAGAGTCATGCCACATCACTTACACCGGCCGCCATTGCAAAAGAGAAAGAGGAAGTTGCGCGGAAGTTTCAAATTACGTTCCTACGCGCACTTCTCCATATTTGGGGTCACCGAAGCCCGGATGTTGAGAAAGAAGACGAGCTTGGAAACGTAGTAGTCAATTAGTATTTATTCAAAATGGTAAGTAGATTCACATATTATAGGCATATATTTATGTCGAAATGAAAGATGAGTATATTATTCACAGTTATATGGACTTATTTAAGACTCAGACAGTGCAGTAATCTGGATAACAGGCACTGAATTCAGACAACATTTATTGGTGCCATAAAAATTTTATCTCAATTTTTTATTACAAACTGAGCATTTAATTTCCTTAGAAATATATAAGATTATGGTCATAACAACACTCTTATTTACTAATCAACTCATAGTACTAATCAACTCATAGAATGAACATTTCTGACCTATTTTTCGACATGTATTGTTCATAGGAGACAGGTTACCTGAAAAGGAAGATAGATATCATTATCAAGGACTGAAACTGAGGCAAGTCTACCCTGGCTGAAATCAGCTCTGAAATAACAATTACTGCATGTCAAGCCGTCATTCAATGCTGATTTTGTAGAAAACAGATCTGTCCATCCTTCTACATGTGAGTTTTTCCCATAAAGATGCTTGATTAAGTAGAAATTCATCAAATTATACCCCTAGAATATCAAAGTTCAACTGTACATCAATCGCGTGAGGAAAAAAAACAAATCCATTCTTCACCTTCTGTTCACAAACCCTTCTTCTTCTTCTTGGAAAAGTTGTCCCTCATTTGACTAACAGCAAATGTGTATGTTTATGCAGCAATATATGTTAGTTTAGAAAATGATTAATTACAATCTTACCTGTAGTTTACAGAAACATCCTAAGTATGAAAATATTTCACTAAAAATACATGCTTCCATTTTGTCACATGTTCATAATAATTTACATATTGACCATGTGATGTTGACAGGGAGTGTAAACGCACCTAGCGTACAGGAAATATATTATGATATTTAGTAAGAAATTAGGTATGGTAATCATTATTACTTATTGTATTAAGCCCCCAACCCACTTCACAAAGTTCATGAAGTACCAAGGAAAGACCAAATATTAAATAAATTAGAAAAATTTGAATTTCCAAAAAAATCAAGTGGGCGATAATAGAGCCTCTGAAACATGGCAAAAGTGACATATTTTGTAATTTTCAATGCACTCCCGATAATTATCTATCATTGTGTGCTTTCCACACCATATCAAACTAATATTATCTAAAAATAATGTATGTAATAAGTTAATGAAGGAAAAATTTAATGTTTCAGAGACTCTATTATCGCCCACTTGATTTTTTGGGAAATTCAAATTTTTCTAATTTATTTAATATTTGGTCTTTCCTTGGTACTTCATGAGCTTTGTGAAGTGGGTTGGGGGCTTAATACAATAAGTAATAATGATTACCATACCTAATTTCTTAATAAATATCATAACATATTTCCTGTACGCTAGGTGCGTTTACACTCCCTGTCAACATCACATGGTCAATATGTAAATTATTATGAACATGTGACAAAATGGAAGCATGTATTTTTAGTGAAATATTTTCATAAATAGGATGTTTCTGTGAAGTACAGGTAAGATTGTAATTAATCATTTTCTAAACTAACATATATTGCTGCATAAACATACACATTTGCTGTTAGTCAAATGAGGGACAACTTTTCCAAGAAGAAGAAGAAGGGTTTGTGAACAGAAGGTGAAGAATGGATTTGTTTTTTTTCCTCACGCGATTGATGTACAGTTGAACTTTGATATTCTAGGGGTATAATTTGATGAATTTCTACTTAATCAAGCATCTTTATGGGAAAAACTCACATGTAGAAGGATGGACAGATCTGTTTTCTACAAAATCAGCATTGAATGACGGCTTGACATGCAGTAATTGTTATTTCAGAGCTGATTTCAGCCAGGGTAGACTTGCCTCAGTTTCAGTCCTTGATAATGATATCTATCTTCCTTTTCAGGTAACCTGTCTCCTATGGTATTGTTTTATCAAAAAATGATTTTTGTGTTGGTGAAGTTCTGCCTCTATAGCCAACGGATTGTTCGAAGTCATACTATAAGCTGCATAGGCCTGTGAACATGTATATAAAAGATTGGGTCGAATACATGTTCCGAGGCCTATGATTAGCCGATTACACTCATCAGGTTATGAAGGTAAAATTCTGCTTTCATATCTTCATGGCTACTGCGCATTCCTCTCATTAGCCTTTCCCAATGGCCATGATATCATGGCCATTACGCATACCTATATTTATAATGACGCAGCAGCAAACTGCGATAAACTATGCACCTACCCTATCTTTGAATGCTCCGAAATCACTCTGCTACGTCTTGAGTGAAGTAATTTGGTATTTCATGAGTAATTAGGAGATTTGTGTCAAAAATTTGGAACTAATTTTGAAAATCCTCTTTATGCACATGCGCGGTATCGCATGTCAAACTTTTAACTTTTATTTTTTTCCTGAAATTACTTTCATGACATCTTGATCCTTGCTTTAGCCCTAGTCCTTTGATCGTCCTTAATAAGCCGCGAGAGAATCGTAATGGTTGAAACTGAAACTAAAATCAGCTGCTTACTTTATATCTCTAATTTTCCTTACATCGCCATCCTCCGTTTACGAAAGTCTTTAAGATATCAGCTGCTTCTGTGTCTATCAGGATTTCTGTTTATTATGCTTGAGTGTACATTTTCTAGCAAGAAACCAAAATGTCAGTTTTGAAATTCATGAAGTGCCATTCAAAATCTCTGGAGATTTCGGAAATCACCTGAGTTTTTGAAGGCTACTCCGTAAATTTCTGTCAAAACTGACATTTATATTTTCTAAGATATATATATATCTAAGAAACTGGATGTTATCTCATTTTGGTAATATCAGTGATGTACTCGACTACGGAAGCTTTTTGCCACGTCGACAGAAGAAATTGCCTCACAGCAACCCCCCTCTTTTAAGAAATCATAGCTATTGCAGTGCTTCTCAGTATTAGTGTTGTCGCGATTAATCGATACATCGTGATATACATCGCCAAAGCTGATTCTGGCGATGCATCGATGTCTGAAACAAAACTTCGATGTTTTTAAAAAAAAATTCATTTGCAAAAAATCACCCTTTCTTATCTTATTTTGACGCAAATTGCTTTCTCATTTCTTATTTCATTTCCCAATGTTTTCTGATATTATTTCACTTTAAAACTGTTTTAGCTATTTGAAATGAACCATAAATCTAAAAAAATTTACTTTACTTTCATTTCACCGTTACTAGAAGTTCCCGGATGAACCAGCGTTCTATATTTTAGTGCATTAGCGTTCGGTATTTCAGTGCACTTTTCTCAGACTTTTTCTCGATGTACATCGCGATGTGCATCGATGTTTACTACTGAAAAGTGCCGATGCATCGATGTACGATTATGGCACATCGCCATCAGTATATATAACTAGTATAATAGGATAGCACAATCAAGACCCCTCTGGACCTTTTTGCATATTGGGTTTCACCACATATTCATCCATCTACTTACCAAAGAAGAAGTCCCAAATCCCCCGCTTTCAGTGTTAATTTTGTGATTGTGCTGTTTCATGGAAATTAATTCAATCTGAAGTTTAAATATACTGGGAAAATACCCCTGATTTGCTGCTTGTTTCAAGGCGCATGTGGGGACTTATGTGATTCAACGGGGATTCCCCTAGCTAGCCGAGGAATCGATTGTTTAATTCTGGAGGTTGGTTGTTCTGTTGATTATTTCAATATTTTGGCAATACTATACCTATAAGTTACTTTCAAGATATATCCATGGTATGTGAGATATTGTATGAGCAATAACAAAGGGACATCATTGATTGTCTGGGCGAGAAACCTATGGTATAATGCATCTTTAAGTGTACTTTTTACCTTTATTAGAATAAAGGGTTATAACTCTGTGCCCAAGAAATAACTCCATATCTTGAGGTACATGTTATTGCTCGTTTCAAAAATAAAATTAATGTATTGCGAGATTGAGATCCCAGTACTAATACATGTGGAACCTGCTCTAATGCAACCGGCAGCTTGTATCCACTAATCTATGTGCAATACTTATAAAAGTTCGATCCTATAATCACATGTCTAGTCAGACGTATGTATATTATTGCATGGTTAGTTTTAACGCTAATCAAATTCAGCAGATTATACCTATTAGTGGAGACATGTATCATTTAAGGGCAGCATCTATTATAGAACCCTATTAAAGAGGACATTAGCTAAAAAGGTATAATTGTACGTTTGTTGCTCCTATTATCAGAATAACATTCTTAGTTCATTTATAAGCGGATTTTTTTTAATCACATTTGTACTGATCAGAATTGATCATGTTGAAAATCATCAAAGAAAGGTATAGTCTTGATAAAAGGTAAATGCTCTTATATAGAGCAGTGATCTCCCCAGCAGACAAGTGGGTGCTATATCCACCTGAGAATCTATTTGCACCTGCTTGATATTGAGAAAATCATGAAAATGGACATATTTTGACTAATTTTGGTCTGAATTGTGAAAATGAGTTATTGTGTTATGAAGAAAAGCATGAAATTATGTATAAAGTGTCGACTTTGAAGTCGAGCAGTGTAGAAATATTATTTCTTTTATTAATCAAAATAGGTATTTCTTAGAAAGAGTTGATCACAAAATATGTGCCATTTGTATTTGATCATACTTCTTTAAATGTGCAAAAATGTTAGTCGCTGTTTTCCATTTGGAATGTAACCACTTATACTGTGACCCAAAGGCTTTGTATGACTAATGGCCCCAGGGTGGTGATTTATACGCTCTATACAGGAAATTGCTTAATTTTCCAGACTATGGTGACCTTGTATGGTTGTTGTAAAGCAAAATATTATGGTTCTCTTGTGACAATGTGTCAATATGCAGCATATTTAAGTTTTACAGATGAGGCAAGAGGCAAGCTTCAGAGTCTCAGCTTACAACGAAACATCTTCGCATAAGTGGCGTCAATCTGTAATATCTATGTCTATTTCCTAGATATTAAGAAATATTAATGTATTCTTGAAATGTGTCATGATTTTAGATGGTAGCTCTTAACATAGCACAAGCTGATTATTACCCTGCGTATTTATTATTGAGTATTTATTATTATGCTCTGATTTGGATAACTAAATAATGACTGAAAAAGTGTCATGGCCTTATATAGTAACGAATATGAAAAAATATCATCTTCTAAAGGTAATCTGTTGAACTTCGACGTATGAGGTTACTTCCTCATGAGGGTTCTTAAACTATGTGGCTATTTCGACATAGGCTTATATTTTCAATTCACACAGTCTGCCATGTTTAAAAGTAAATCAAAATCTCCAATGAGCGAGAACTTGATCCAAGATGACTGATCCCGAAAATTATTGGTAATGGTAAAATAACCAATTTGGTCGCTGTAGTCCCTGGGGACGAAGTAACACCATTTGTTGAAGTTTGACAGAGGACCTTTAATAAAGGCATAACATTGTGTGACCATAGTTCACCTCTGCACTGGGTACCTGCACTCGATTGATACATACTCTGACAAGCTAAGGCTAGATTAAAGAATTTAAGCTTTCTTTTAAAGGTACCCGAATGTTTTCAAAAACTAGAAAGTGTTACCTAATTTGAGCTTGATCAAATCAAATTAAAGTAAAAGTCACTGCTATGTTTCTTTAGAATGCATCCAAAAGTCATTTTCGTATTACATGGGTTCTATTTGTTCTTTGAGTTTGTTTTGATGCGTTGCCTAAATATTACTTGATTTCTTTATAATAGCTGTCTGGGGAATGGCTTACAGCCAAAGTGGAACAAATCTCATTTATTGCTTTCCATGGTGGTAACAAAATGCATAGATTTATGGATTAACAGTTTTGTCTGAATAAGATTATGTTGTAATACAATTTATTACAGTCAATCAAGTCTATATATATTGTGATGGATTGAGGGTTGAGTACAAGTTTAATATACACCTGTAATTTGAATGTATTTCATTCAATGTACATGTATATCTCCCAAAATATGAAACAAGGTGCTACACACATCTTGATATCTTGGAAATTGGCTTATACCTACCTGAAAATCCTCTGCACCGAAAAGCATGTTATTGTAATCAATCCAGAAAAGCCTTGCAGCAAGTCTGGACCCAAATTACACAAATCCTATTATTAAATGGGGGAGGGGGCACAAGGGCTTGATTCTTAAAATACTTACTGTATAATGTTTGATAGCCACATATTTATCAGTTCGCCAATCCTGTAACCAGGGAATTGGGGTTTTCACCTCCCTAGCTAAAAATTCTTTCAAGATCAAGTATTTTTCACAATTTTTAGTGATGTGGGGTCAGATTTGGCCTCTCCCTACCCCCGAGTAATTTGTAAAAACTGAACAATGACTGGCTACCAGTCTGAAATATTTGTGAATATAAAATGAGAGTTAACTCAGTAACAGTTAACTAAACTGAGGATGTGAATAATCCCTATCATATTATGTAACCTGAGCGTTATAGGGGAGTCTTTGTCTCAGCGGTGAAAAATTAATTCTGTATAAAACCTGAGGGGATGGATTGTTATTGTCTTTTGTTAAATTGGTGCCTCGGAATTCAATGTAAATAGTTCTGCATTCATCTGTAGTCGGTAATCACCTTTTGTGTTATTGATTGGTGTATGCTCTGTTGTCATGTAGGCAATTGAAAATTGCAATCAGTGAAACAAATATCATATAACATACCGTATGTTACTTATTACTTCTAATAATGAGTGCTAGTCTCTAGATAAGTGGTTATGATGATAATTCCATATTGGATAGATTTTACTGGAATGATGTCGCTTCTTATAATGAGTTTCTTCTGTACTAGGCTAAAACCCTGTGATACTTATCTCATGAATTGTGTATTTTAACTCTCAAAATTAGGGCAAATTGGCAAAAAAAGAGTTGAAGTTTCATCAATGATGACACTTGTCAGTCTGATACCTTTGTAAGCCTGTTTGGTGTGACGCCCATTAAAGACCCAGACTCCAATTTTTATTGCAACTTTTGGTTGCTAAATTGTGATCAGTTTGCCAGTTAGATAAATGTTAAATGTATTTTGGTATGAAAGTTTAGAACTGCTCAGTTTTTCATCATTTCGTGTTAATGTTAAGGCAGCGTGTGATACTGTTCACCATGCATCTTACTTTCCTGGCCAAGGATTATTGTATGACATTTTGAAAACTTCTCTACATCTAACTAATGTATCTTATTGTATGTTTCAGGGGAATGAGACCTCATTACCTATGGAGCTCTGCTCTACATGTAAGTACAACACTTTACTAGCTTACATTGTCTTTTATTAGGTTCTGCTTTGTTATATAGGAAGAAAAGAATCGGAGGGGGGGGGTAACATAGAGATCTCAGACAGTGTATATGTGTAAGTCCTAAGTGAACACGAGCATAGTAGACATTCAAATTGTCAAGATTTTAGCACATATCATTGTCTATCTTGTCTTCAGGTTGTCATTACATTACATCCTCTTGATATGCTACTTGATGGAAACAAACACTATAATGGATGACCCTTGACTTTGCTCAATCACAAACTCTCTAATAAAAACATAGGATTCATATTAATATATGATATATGGTCATAATTTAAACAGTATAATGGACGACCCTTGACTTTGCTCAATCACAAACTCTCCAATAAAAACATAGGATTCATATTAATATATGATATATGGTCATAATTTAAACAGTATAATGGACGACCCTTGACTTTGCTCAATCACAAACTCTCTAATAAAAACATAGGATTCATATTAATATATGATATATGGTCATAATTTGAACAGTATAATGGACGACCCTTGACTTTGCTCAGTCACAAACTCTCCAATAAAAACATAGGATTCATATTAATATATGATATATGGTCATAATTTAAACAGTATAATGGACGACCCTTGACTTTGCTCAATCACAAACTCTCTAATAAAAACATAGGATTCATATTAATATTAATATATGATATATGGTCATAATTTGAACAGTATAATGGACGACCCTTGACTTTGCTCAGTCACAAACTCTTCAATAAAAACATAGGATTCATATTAATATATGATATATGGTCATAATTTAAACAGTATAATGGACGACCCTTGACTTAACTCAGTCACAAACTCTCTAATAAAAACATAGGATTCATATTAATATATGATATATGGTCATAATTTAAACAGTATAATGGACGACCCTTGACTTTGCTCAGTCACAAACTCTCCAATAAAAACATAAGATTCATATTAATATATGATATATGGTCATAATTTAAACAGTATAATGGACGACCCTTGACTTTGCTCAATCACAAACTCTCCAATAAAAACATAGGATTCATATTAATATATGATATATGGTCATAATTTAAACAGTATAATGGACGACCCTTGACTTTGCTCAATCACAAACTCTCTAATAAAAACATAGGATTCATATTAATATATGATATATGGTCATAATTTAAACAGTATAATGGACGACCCTTGACTTTGCTCAGTCACAAACCCTCCAATAAAAACATAGGATTCATATTAATATATGATATATGGTCATAATTTAAACAGTATAATGGACGACCCTTGACTTTGCTCAGTCACAAACTCTCCAATACAAACATAGGATTCATATTAATATATGATATATGGTCATAATTTAAACAGTATAATGGACGACCCTTGACTTAACTCAGTCACAAACTCTCTAATAAAAACATAGGATTCATATTAATATATGATATATGGTCATAATTTAAACAGTATAATGGACGACCCTTGACTTTGCTCAGTCACAAACTCTCCAATAAAAACATAGGATTCATATTAATATATGATATATGGTCATAATTTAAACAGTATAATGGATGACCCTTGACTTAACTCAGTCACAAACTCTCTAATAAAAACATAGGATTCATATTAATATATGATATATGGTCATAATTTAAACAGTATAATGGACGACCCTTGACTTTGCTCAGTCACAAACTCTCCAATAAAAACATAGGATTCATATTAATATATGATATATGGTCATAATTTAAACAGTATAATGGACGACCCTTGACTTTGCTCACTCACAAACTCTCTAATAAAAACATAGGATTCATATTAATATATGATATTTGGTCATAATTTAAACAGTATAATGGACGACCCTTGACTTTGCTCAGTCACAAACTCTCCAATAAAAACATAGGATTCATATTAATATATGATATTTGGTCATAATTTAAACAGTATAATGGACGACCCTTGACTTTGCTCAGTCACAAACTCTCCAATAAAAACATAGGATTCATATTAATATATGATATATGGTCAAAATTTAAACAGTATAATGGACGACCCTTGACTTTGCTCAGTCACAAACTCTCCAATAAAAACATAGGATTCATATTAATATATGATATATGGTCATAATTTAAACAGTATAATGGACGACCCTTGACTTTGCTCAGTCACAAACTCTCCAATAAAAACATAGGATTCATATTAATATATGATATATAGTCATAATTTAAACAGTATAATGGACGACCCTTGACTTTGCTCAATCACAAACTCTCTAATAAAAACATAGGATTCATATTAATATATGATATATGGTCATAATTTAAACAGTATAATGGACGACCCTTGACTTTGCTCAGTCACAAACTCTCCAATAAAAACATAGGATTCATATTAATATATGATATATGGTCATAATTTAAACAGTATAATGGACGACCCTTGACTTTGCTCAATCACAAACTCTCTAATAAAAACATAGGATTCATATTAATATATGATATATGGTCATAATTTAAACAGTATAATGGACGACCCTTGACTTTGCTCAGTCACAAACTCTCCAATAAAAACATAGGATTCATATTAATATATGATATATGGTCATAATTTAAACAGTATAATGGACGACCCTTGACTTTGCTCAGTCACAAACTCTCTAATAAAAACTTAGGATTCATATTAATATATGATATTTGGTCATAATTTAAACAGTATAATGGACGACCCTTGACTTTGCTCACTCACAAACTCTCCAATAAAAACATAGGATTCATATTAATATATGATATATGGTCATAATTTAAACAGTATAATGGACGACCCTTGACTTTGCTCACTCACAAACTCTCTAATAAAACATAGGATTCATATTAATATATGATATATGGTCATAATTTAAACAGTATAATGGACGACCCTTGACTTAACTCAGTCACAAACTCTCTAATAAAAACATAGGATTCATATTAATATATGATATATGGTCATAATTGAAACAGTATAATGGACGACCCTTGACTTAACTCAGTCACAAACTCTCCAATAAAAACATAGGATTCATATTAATATATGATATTTGGTCATATTATAAACAGTATAATGGATGACCCTTGACTTAACTCAGTCACAAACTCTCTAATAAAAACATAGGATTCATATTAATATATGATATTTGGTCATATTATAAACAGTATAATGGATGACCCTTGACTTAACTCAGTCACAAACTCTCTAATAAAAACATAGGATTCATATGTGATATATGGTCATATTATTTTCAACGTTTGTGATCACTGTCTAAACTGTAAAGTAGCAATATTCATTCTTTCTCGAAGACTTATGTTATTTCAGTAAATAATATGAGAGGAGAACGCTGAACAAAAGCATATAAAGTATTGAAAATCTCACGCCCTAATGTAAAATAAGTATTTGGTATGAAAACATGACTGTTTATTTTCTCAAAGCATTTAATACAATAAAAGTTCATTGCCGATGTATTTCAAATGGTGAAGTAATTTGAAATTATATCAATAGCATACTCATTTTATTTTCCATAGGTTATATTTTGGAAATAATGATTTGTGGGGCCTCATTTTGAAAGAACTGTACATTTTCTATGAACAACTTTTTGAATGAGTAATTTTCCTTTATAACAATTTTTCATTTAACACTATCCATTCAATTTATAAGAAGTCCTTTCAAAATATGGTCTTCATATCTCCAAGACACATGCAATTCTTTAAGAGCCGGGGCCGTGTGCTATAATAACAAAATATATAGTTAATATGTTTATTTGACAATTATATGTACCTAATATCAATAATGTTATCGTTTTTGAACTTATATGATGTCAATCAAGTTTTTCTGAATATAAAATACACTGACCACCATGCCATTATTGTACCTTATTTATTGTCCAGTAAAGGGAGTATCATTCTCTCTTAGAACATATTCCTGTTAATATGTCATGTCAGGATCAGGGTCCTTGTAAGAAGAAAGGAACATAATAGATAATGTCTTTAGCCCCACATTCGGAGGATGGGAGATGGGCTCTACCTACATCTTTAATAATAGTTTCTTGGGAATATCTTCTTTTAAAGCTGTGAGTTGTAAAAGGAACCAATAAACCCTTGTGTCTGGTCACAATACATCTTTAATATTTAGTTTCTTGGGAATATTATCTTTTGAAACCCTTATGTCTGGAATATTGCTGTTCCAATTATAAAATGTCTCTCCGAACGGTTTTCTATTGTTCTGGTTTAGAAAATGCAATAATAGCTTTTTGAAGGATATATCATCTAGTCTCTCGTAAGCCGGGAATAGCTGAGCATACAATCCTAGCTTTTTTAAGAGTATTTTAAACATGTATTTGTATGTGTGAGACATTGATAAACTATTTTCCTACTACATGTACTACTTCTACATCTTCAAGAACATTGTTTTATTTATGGAATCTCAACAATTTGAACTCCCTTGTTTGTCCCAGGATTGAAGTATAATTCATTTTTAGAACTGTTTTGAAAGCTGGGTTTAAATATTATAGCAATGCGTCTCAATAATATCATTCTGTTAGAATCTAACTGGAATCATAGTCATAGTCTTACACAATAAATCATATGACAATAACTTATCAATTGATGTCATATTAATCAATTAGAAGAAGTCATAATTATTTTTCTTTTATATGATATCACTGAAGATTTGCTCGATTAAACTCATGAGGTGATTGATTTGACATGAGTTGATTATCATTTTAACTAATGCAAACGTATTATGAAAATGCAAAAGTGAGAAGTTTTATGATTGCAATGTATTAGAATGTTCACCTGATTAAGTACACATTCTGATATTATCCTTGGAATTATGAATGTGCCTAATCGTGTTCATCCACTTGATAGTTATATTTGCCCAACTCCCAATGTTATAGGCTTTATTATTGATTTTCCCCGGAACAAGTAGTTA